TATTTCCTATGTATAATCTAATTACGGGCAACATATTATATACAATTATATTATATTAGCTATTCAATTAATTAATGGACTCAATTAAGTGATCTAAATTAAGTAGAGTTCGTGGGCTACATAAATTGATATGGACTTAGTAAGTGGATACCTAATATTACTAGGGTTAGGTGATAATGGGTGGTCTACCCTATTAGTATATATAGACCCTCTTGGTTATGGTCCCTAATATACTAAATCAAACATAGTTCTCTTTTCTCCCCATTAGAATCGAGAACGACAGTCTCATATGAGGAATAAGGCGATTTAGTTGAGGAAGACCATAAAACCAACACCGTTCGTGATCGAGGATGTGTTCGTGATCCAAGTCGTGTTCCATGGTGATTGAATCTATAAATCCACCTAAAGTACGCTTCCGCTATCTAGTTTAATTCTCGATTATTTGATATGAAAGCTCTTGGGATATAGTGATGGTTTTCACATAAAGTTAATTCCAACAAGTGGTATCAGAGCCAGGTTTATATCGAATTTTGGGGATCATTTATATCGATCATATGCAGAAATTCAGTTTCGCCCATTACTTATCACTTTGAAATATTGGTTCTACTGCTGCGGTATTGATTTGGGTATTGATATATTAATATGTGATACATCGGATAATTATTCATACTTTGTTACCATGGAAATTTGTTAGTGATGATCCAATCAATATTTGTGGTATTTGGTTTCGTGATAATGGGCATATTCAGTTTTGCATTTAGAGGCATGTTTTATTTTCAGTCTTGGAAACAACATGAATGATAATTGGATTCAGTGCATGATTTATTAGTTTTCTGAAAACATATGGTATTTAGAAGTATTTTTATGATAAATCCATTTGGATTTATTTGTTGACAAAAGTGGCTTTTCAGAACATCAATTGCTAAAGCTGTTAGAATTATTATGTTAATTCTAAGTAATTTTGTGAGCGTAAACATTGATATTGTTACTTGTATGTTTTCGGAATCTATGGAGTTATCCATTTAAAGGTTGATTTAAAATTATTTTTGTTTATAAGGTTTTAAATCAACATAAGGAGCAAAGTTTTATGGTCTTTCACTAAAGAAGATGAAATAAAATAGTGGATCTTTATTTTGTTATATTTGATTTGAGGCTAAATTATGGGTGTATTTGAGCTTAGGTTGACATTTGGTTTTCGTCTAGTTCGGCTCAAATTAACAAAATTTGTTTCTAGCTTAAAATCTAAATATTTGAACTTGGTTCTATGTTTTGTGAACGTAATTTGCAATGCGATAAAGCTAAGCATGATTTGGACATACTAGGCTTTGGCTATATAAAATTGGATTTAAAGTCTAAGTTGGTTTTATAGACTTTAAACTCAAATAAAGATAATGGACACAAGTTCATATAAAGTTTCATATTTTGGCTCAAATTAAAGTTAGATTTTGAGATTATCTTTTCCTTGGTATCTCAAAATATTTATAAGGTCAGAGTTTGAGTTTGACTTTGTGATAAACTCATATTGTGTTTCTGGGATAAGAGGCTAAGTATCCCATAAGGATAGGATTTATATTGAAAATCTTCACATATAATCCATGAGGATTCTTTGAGTCAATTATGAGAAACATGTTAAGCATTTCCATGACTTATGTGTTTGATTTGATTTAGGCTTAAATTCCAAAATAATGTCATGTTGAATTTTTATATGCTTGAGCTCCTTTTTGGATAGTTATTTTATGACTAATTGATTGAATGTTAGCCCAATTTGGTAATAGTGAGCCGTAAATTCAAAAGAAAGTTTATTTGGATTTAAACTTATTGAAATTAGATTTTAAGCCTAATCGGTATATGGGCTTTCAATCTAAATAAAGTTGGAATTAAATTTATTTTAATTCATGAACTTTATGTCCAAAGTTTTCATGGGGCGACGTTTTAACGTTGTTCAATTGAATAATAGAGAAATTCTCGGTCACTTTTCTATGATGTTGTGATTTTCAATTTAGTCAATCAAAGTATCATGTTGCCATAGCAACCTCTGTGCACAGAGAATGACTTTATTGAAATTATTTTAATGTTGTGTGAAGTT